CTACTACTACTACTACTACTACTACTACTACTACTACTACTACTACTTACTACTACTTACTACTACTTACTACTACTGCTACTACTACTACTACTTACTACTACTACTACTACTACTTACTACTTACTACTACTTACTACTACTTACTACTACTTACTACTACTACTACTAACTACTACTAACTACTACTAACTACTACTAACTACTAACTACTACTACTACTACTACTACTACTATTCCTACTACTATTCCTACTATTCCTGCTCCTGCCTTGGGGGGTGGCTTTGCCACAAAACTCTACCCCGCAAAAGGCGAAAGTTTGGCGAAAGTTCAGCTCAAGATTGGCGAAAGTTCACCCTGCCACATCTGACCCCCAGCCCATTATGAATAAGTTTCGGTGACCGGCTACTTCAGTGATTCTTGCATTTTTGACTCTTGCTGACACCCAGGAGAAACAAAAGAGACGTACAGGGTGTCAACAGTTAAGTAGAAGACACATGCTGACAAACAGTGAAATTTCTATTTTGTGTTTGCCAGTAAAGAAGAAGCCACTGACGTGAACAAAACACAACATACATGGCACACATAAATACAACGTACTTCGGCGAAAGATAAAACGCAGGAAGGCGAAAGTTTGGCGAAAGTAAATTTTTTTTTGGCGAAAATGACGGATCCCGGATAAAGGAATTTAGATCAACTCCCATGTGTATATATATATATTTACATCAAGGAACATCGAGCCACTTGACAATCAAGTGGGATGGATTCCCTTGATATAATTTCTGAAAGACTTTGGGCCACAAGACATACTGTGTTAATATATATCAATTGCATCTATACTAGGAATCTATACATACATATGTATATATATATATATATTCATTCAGTCAGCATAGCATAGTATTGGACCCAGAACGGACATGGACCAACCGGTGGGTACATCCAGCACTCCTCTCACCAGCATCAGGGCCCTCCAGTGTCTCCATGTCATGTTTTCTCGCCGATCTACAGACAGATCCACCACAGATTTGGAGGATCTTCTGACCTTAATCCATTTCCCTTAGGAACCCCCGGTCGGTCTTCAGGAGTTCCATCAGGACTTCCCTGAGCGGGTCCTCCGCCCGTCTTCGACCACCGGGACCGCCGGGAGCGATTACATCCCCCAGACGGGGGAGGAGCCTGAGAGAAATCAGGTTCTGACCTAAGGACCTACGCTAGTAGTAACAAGTGCATCGCTACTAGTAACAAGTGCCTTACTAG